GCAATCGAACCTCAAAGAGAGTTAGAAGTTGCTCTCCTTGGCAACCAGCAGCACTAGGCCCAGGCGGCAGCTGCTGTTTAAACTGGAACAGATATTTTCTGTCCTCCGTTTGTGGGAAAAAAGACCATGCCTCCTCCTCGCTAACTTCAGCTTCCTCCAAAACAAAAGACTAGCTAGCTCCATGAATTAAGTACAATATGAACAGCAAAAGACTCTTGCAGCAGAATGGCAAGTTTATTGTGCCGCAATAAATCAGTCTTATTATAAATGCGTCAAAATTCTTGTCAGGGAGAAGAGGCCAAGTACTTGGGGAATTCCTGCCCCTCTGGAATGAAGCACCGTAGAATTCGGTCGCCATCTAGTGGCAGTAGGACAGTTTCTTGGGAAGCGCATTTTTAAAAAGGCATAACATGATCTCAAAGAACAGACTGCATCGAGGAAGAATGATGAAAGAGCAGAGGATTCCACCCAGTTTTAAATTAAGAGATTAGATACATTCATGGAGGATTAGTGGCTACTAGCCTTGGTGACTAAAGGAAACGGCTACATTCAGAGGTGGTAAAACCTCAGTGCTAGGAAGCAAAATCAGGAGAAGGCCTTGGCTTCTAAGCCCTTCTGAATAACTGGCTGGCTGCTGTGTTAGGATACTGAACAAGATGGGGCACAGAACTGCTCCACCAAGGCTCATTGGGGAAGGGCTGTGGCTCAGTGATAGAGCATCTGCTTGGCAGGCAGAAGGTCCTAGGTTCTATCCCTGGCATCTCCAGTTAAAAAGGTCAGGTAGGAGGTGATGTGGAAGACCATAGCCTTTCACCCTAGAGAGCCACTGCCAGTCTGCGTAGACAATACTCAGTAGACAATACTTTCATGGACCATAGATCTGATTCAGTATAAGGAGGCTTCATGTGTTCATCTTATGTTGTTAAATTTTTCACTTTTAGTGAGAATTAATTTCTCATTCTCTCTCACACCAGCAGTTCTTCCATCCTCCCAGCCAGCATAAGAACTTAAGAACATAAGAGAAGCCAATGTTGGATCAGGCCAAAGGCCCATCCAGACCAACACTCTGTCACACAGTGGCCCAAAATACCAGGTGCCATCCATTGCCACATGAAGAATAGGCCCATCCATCCCATCAATTGCCACATGAAGAACTGGCCTTTCTAAATCAGGCCCATCCTTATGGTCCCAAAGCATCCATGGCTACCAGGTTCTGAGGAAACGGTAAAGGAACTGCTCTGCTTTTAACAGCCAAGATTTGACCTCCTAATTTCTTTCATAGTGTTTTTATGATTTGATATTTTCTCAGCTACCTTGAGCAGAAGAAGATCGGATTTATACCCCACCCTTCACTACCCAAAGGAGTCTCAGAATGGCTTACAATCTCCTTTCCCCTCCCCTCCCCACAACAGACACCCTATAAGGTAGGTGGGGCTGAGAGAGTTCTTTCAAGAATTGCTCGTGAGAGGACAGCTCCAAAAGAACTTGTAAGTGACCCAACATCACACCAGCAGCTGCATGTGGAGGAGTGGGAAATCAAACCCGGTTCTCCCTGATTAGAGTCCACGCTCCTAACCACCACACCAAACTGGCTCTCTTGAAGTGACTTGAGAGGTGCCACATACACTTCCTAAGTACATAACAGATAAGGATTGCGCTGGCCAACTCGTAAGATGATCTTGCCTCTCTGCCAAATCTAGATATTGGGTGGGAGAGAGTTCTGAAATGAGTTCTGTCCACCTTACCATCTTGGAGGCACTTTCAGAAAGGCAATGCTTCCCCCACCATGTCTTTGGTAGTGTTTGGGGTATTGAGTAAGCTTTGCCCCCTGTTTGGGGGGGGGGGGTCTCAGTGGTAGAGCATCTGGTTGGCAAACATAAGGTCCCAGGTTCAATCCCAGGCCTCTCCAGTTAAAAGGATCAGGTAGAGAGCCAGTTTGGTATAATGGTTAAGTGCGTGGACTCTAATCTGGGAGAACCAGGTTTGATTCCCCCCTCCTCCACTCGCAGCTGCTGGATGACCTTGGGCAAGCCATAGTTCTGTCAGAGCTGTTCTTGAAAGAGCAGTTCTTGAAAGAGCTCTCTCAGCCACACTTACCTCACAGGGTGTCTGTTGTGGGGAGGGGCAGAGAAAGGAGTTTGTAAGCTGCTCTGAGATTCTGAGTGAAGGGCGGGGTATAAATCCAATCTCTTTTCTTTTAGTAGGGCATGTGGAAGACCTCTGCCTGAGAACCTGGAGAGGGTCTGCCACTCTGAGTAGACAACACTGACTGATACTGATGGTCTAGTTCAGGATGAGGCAGCTTCATGTGTGTTGTGCACACACATACACATGCAGAGAGCTTTACTTCTTTCCAGAGGAATGGCTAGCAGCCTTTCACTTGTAGGGAAGTAAAGAGTTGTATCCACAGACACTCTCTAGCCACTAACCTTTCAAGGGTACTCCTGTCTGCACAGCACTGAAAGTGCTGAGAAACAGAGGAGAGATGACGTTTTCATCCATGCATAAAATGCTTCTGCTTCACCAAACGTTCAATGGAGTAGAAAACGCCACAAACATAATGGATTGAAAACATGTCCCGTTTGGGTCTGACAATACAGGAAACAGGAAGCTTTAAGCCCACACAGCCTTGATATGTTTTGATGTCCTCGCTTCCTTCCTCTGTCTGATGCTTCACAACCATATTGGCCTTGACAGTCCTCATTCTGGATTTCCTATCATTCCCCCCTCCCCTCGCACTGAGTCATGCCTTTCAGGTTCATTACATATTGGTTCTGTAGCTCACAGAATTTAAATTTCCAGCCTGCAGCACAATGGGAATGTTAAAAGTATGTGGAGCTGTTCTTCAGCCACCAGTGTGGTGATGGGTCTACCTTTGGATGGGGGGGCAGTGCCCTAACATTTGGTCATAGCCTGCTGGACATCTGAAATCCCATTTATACCAGATGGAATTTATCTCATCTTTGGACACTTTGCCTTCTAGCTATAGCCTCTTGTTTACCTGAGGTTGCCTTCAAGGACAGGGCGGCCGCTTCCTCACAGGTTCCCCGCTGCCCTCTCCTTATTAGTTCTCTGTTGGCTGGCTCTCCCCCTCCGACAATCTGGTTCCTTCATGTCCATTTCCCACACAGAGTGTAACTCTACAGCCATCCCCCCCCCCCAAGCACATTTCTTCATATCAATTTCTGGCCCAACCATCTATGTAGCCAACTGCACTGACAAACTGATGTATTCTCCTGGGGTGGGGTCTGTGAACTTGCCAACTCATAAGGATATAGAAGCCCAGGCGTTGTGCTCAGCGATTAGGGATTCAGGTTCACAAGAGGAAAAGTCTTGCTTGTTGCAATTCCTGCCCTAACCCCGAGTCCAGGTTCACAAGAGGAAAAGTCTTGCTTGTTGTAATTCCTGCCCTAACCCCAAGTCCAATGAAGGGAACATTGGCTCTTGAAAGCTTATACCCACCAAAATCTTGTTCGTCTCTAAGGTGTTCCTGGACTCGAATCTAGCCGTTCTACCACAGACCAACGTGGCTACCCTCTGAAATTCTACTACCCCATTTCTTATACTGACCTTTTCTGGAAGTCTTACTTGGTGAGTCACTGGGGAGGAAAACTGAGAAATCTGAGCCAGCTGAGACTTTTGCTGAGTATCTGCCTCTCCCCTTTCAATCTTAAGCTTAGTCAGAAGTATGAGCTTCTGCGTTGAGGCAAAAGGCTCTTGACCCTTGGCTTTTGGAGAGCCAGTTTGGTGTAGTGGTTAAGTGCGCGGACTCTAATCTGGGAGAACCGGTTTCGATTCCCCACTCCTCCACTTGCACCTGGCTGAACGACCTTGGGCAAGCCATAGTTCTGATAAGAGCTGTCCTTGAAAAAGAGCAGTTTCTGTCAAGAGTTCTCTCAGCCCCACCTACCTCACAAGGGTGCCTGTTGTGGGGAGGGGGAGGGAAAGGAGATTGTAAGCCGCTCTCCTTCAGGTAGTGAAGGGCGGGGGATAAATCCAATCTCTTCTTCTCTTCTTCTTTCAGAGCTGTTCCCTCACAAGAAGTTCTCGTAAGAGATCTCAGCCCCACCTACCTCACAAGGGTGCCTGTTGTGGGGAGGGGGAGGGAAAGGAGATTGTAAGCCGCTCTCCTTCAGGTAGTGAAGGGCGGGGTATAAATCCAATCTCTTCTCTTCTTCTTCTAGCATGAACCATGACGAGAGAACCAGGACCAGCCCAAATGTCCTTGAGGCTCATCACCTGCTTTACTGTTGTATTGGCTGCCTGTTGGATTTTATTTTTTTGTTTAAATTGTAATGTGTATTTTTGTTCTGGAGCGTCACTCCAGTGTGGGAGAAAAGCAAGGTAAAATATTAGATAAATGAATACCACCATATATCTTCACTCAAGTATTTCAGACAGAACCACAAAAATCCAGCCAAAACTGTCTGCAGTTACTGAGGAGAGGGTCTTCTCTGTGAAGGTGCCCCAATTTTGGAACCCTCTCCTTAGGAAGACTCACCTAGAACCATTATTCTCTCTTAGTGCCAGACTAAGTCCATCCTCTGTACCCAAACCGAAAAGTAATTAATGTTTACTGCTACTGAACTTGTCAGTTGGGGTTCAACAATGTGAATTTTTAACTTTCCTTGAGGACTTCTGAAGCAGAAAGGCAGGTCATTTTCCCCTAAAATTCATAACTTGCTCAGATACTGGAAGTCTGGGAAATCAACCGACCTGGCCATTTTTGTAGAATTAGACCATTTTTTTTGTTCTCCATTCCAGCAATGATGTCCTGCCTTTCATTTACTATTTTTTAAAAAACAGGTTTCTTGCTCTACTTTACAGGTGTTGAAATAACCTTTGAAATTAAGAAGGAAATTAGGAAAGGCCCAATTACAAACAGCGAGAAATAAGAGGTTTGTATTTTATGCCAAAGAGCTATACTTGTGTGAAACCAGGAGGAGTCTCTTTTAAAACCCAGCTATCCAACATGACCAGTCAGGTATTTACAACGGCACCTATTATATTTTCTTCCAGTTGCAAAACGGTAAACAATCAGTGACCAAGACGCTGCAGTTTTATACACAGCATACCCCTTCTTGCTCACCCAATACACACAACTCCTAAATCAAGATGTATTCATTTGACAAACACCATCCCACATCAGACAATGGCATTTAGAAAGAAAGAAGCGGGGCCAGCCAGTGCTCCTACCCCACCTATTGTTCAGTCTCAGTAACGTCCTCATGACTACATATCACTCCTGCGTCCTCTTTGTGGGAACAGTTGTGCTTCCCAATGTCTGCATGTGTGCATTCCAGTAGGGTTTTCTCCCGGCCTGAGCACTGAACATCATCAAGAAGAATGGGAAGTGAACGTCCCTCCCCAAACTCTGCTTTCTTAGTTGCCTTGATCACAAAAGCATAGCCCAGCTGGCGGCAAACTACTGAAGCTGCCTTGGAAGTCCACAAGTCGTCGCACACGGTGCCCCACTTTCCGTTGATAAAGATTTCCACTCTCCCTCGGTCCCTCCCTTCCACGTTGCCATTCATTATTCGGACTGCACCGTTCCGTGGCTGTGCGGGAGCGCTGGTTGGCTTGTTCTTCCTCCTCTGCCCTCTCCTTCCCCCTGTCCTCCCCCCTTTCCTTGGCTTTGGGGCTTTGGTTTTTGGTGGTGCGGTGGTCATCAGCACTCTGTTTTGACTTCTTAGCAGAGTCAAGATTTGTTCCACCCAGTCTGGAGTCGTGACGCGAGGCGGTTCTGCGGTTGCCTTGGCCCTTGCTGGAGCTCGAGTCGTGGATCTTAGTTTAGGACGTTGTGTTGGTGTTTTTATTATAAGCTCTGGGTTGGGGGAAAAAACAGAAAGACAAAACATCACTACCCAGAAATGCAGGCATGTCTTTTCGTGACGGGGATACTGAACTCTCAAAGAGGAAGCAGTAGACAATTTCTTACACTGCCAGCAATTCTTTTTTTCTGCTGTGGTCTTCATTACTGCTACAGATTGGCTGTTAGCAGCTGTTGAGGACGTCAGCTCTGTATTGTGCCAGAATTGTGCTGTTTCATTCATTGGTGGGTAGGACTGTGAGCATTCAAAGCTTTATTCTCTCTGGTAATTGGGATGTGCGTAAAGAGAGCAGAGTTGCCAAGGTAACACACAAAACATTCTGTGCAGTAGTGGAGTGGGGAGAGAACTTTTTCTTTTTGGTTTTTAATGAGAGCGCCAACAGAAAGGGCACAGTTATCCCCCTCACCACCACGGATACCAGAAACTTCCAGGGTTCCTTTTTCTCTGTTAATTTTTTTTTTTGTTGACACCCACATTTAAGACAGACATTTTCCCCAAATTGGATGATGTTCAGTATTAATGGACATCTCCCAATGCACGTGACACATTCTAAATTTATTTTTTTAACAATAGATAGCTGTTAGAAGAAGCCCTGACAGCAGATGTTTCTGACTGCAAACTTTCATTGCCAATTCATTTCTTCTTGTAGTTTTTAACAACAGAAATACATTCACTGAGTAATTCTGCTTCACACCACAGGCTATACAAGGTACACAGTATTTTAGCAATCTTCACAGGGATGAATACTCAACCATGCTCTACAAAAGGACACCAGCTGCACAGTTAGTTCTCTGCAGTCCTGTCTCCGAATGAGCTAATTCTCTGCAGTCCTGTCTCTGAATAACCCACCTCACAGGATGGTTGTGCACAAAAAAATTAGAGGGGAAAAGAGGGGGGGGGAACAGATAAGCCATCCTGAGGTCCCTGGAGCTAGGGCAGAATAAAAATGAAATGTGATTAATAATAATTAAAATATTTTATTGATCACTGCCCTGCCACAGGAAAACCATTTGTCTCAACGCTGACATTCATGCAGTGTTTCAGTTGAGAAACATCACTGTAATTGCTAGATTAGAGTCCAGTAGCACCTTATGAGACCAACAAGGCGATATCTGATGGAGATTTGACTCTTGAAAACTTATGCCCCCAAAATCTTCTTGGTCTCTAAGGGGGTTCTGGACTCGAATCTAGCTCTTCTACTGCAGAACAACCAGGCTACCTTCCTGAAACCTTCAGAGGTGGAGGACTGCCAAGAAGAGGGAATGGTTCTCTTTACACCACCAGAATTAAAAAAAAAAATTCTACTGTGTCTTACGCATTCTGTCCATGTTCACGTTGTGGAACGGATGCTTATCACAGACTTGTTAAGTCCTTCTGGCACCTGCTATCCAAGGAAGCTTGACCCTCAGTTCAAAGTGCAGGGGAGAAGGTACTCTGCATTTTTCCAGGGGGCTTCTTCTGTTATATAAAAGCCTTAATTTAGAATAATAGAATCACAGAGTTGGAAGGGACCTCTAGTCTCATCTAGTCCATCCTTCTGCACAATGCAGGAAATTCACAACTACCTCCCTCTTCCCCCACACACCCCCAGTGACCCATACTCCATGCCCAGAAGATGGCAAAAAAAACCCAAGATCCCTGGCCAAACTGGCCTGGAGAAAAATGGCTTCCTGATCCCAAAGTAGCCATTGGGATTTCCCTGGGCGTGCAAGAAAGGGCCACGAGAACTAAGCACTGAGGCAACCCTTCCTGCCCTCCCTCTCGGGATCGGCCTAAGTTCACAGAATCGGCATGGCTGTCAGATGGCCATCTAGCATCTGCTTAAAAACCTCCAAAGAAGGAGAGCCCACCCCCACCTCCCAAAGAAGCCTATATTTCTTTGTTTATATAAAAGCCCTTGTTTCTGTCATAAAGTGCAGTGGGTGAGACCAGGGCCAGCTCGAGGTGTTTCTGCGCCCTAGGCGAGGCTGCCTTGTGGCTCAGATGCCAACCTCCCGGTGGGGCCTGGAGACCTGGAGACCTCTGGAGCCAGCCACCCTTTTGCTGCCGCCGCCACTGCCTCTCCCCCCCCGCCCCGCCACCACCAAAGGGGGGAGGGGGAGGAACAGCTTGGCACCCCATCCAGGGCCCGGCGCTCTAGGCAAATGCCTAGTTCGCCTAGTGGGTGAACCGGCCCTGCTTCTCCCTAGGAAAACATGGTCCCAGTTTTGACTCTGTTTTTGCCTTTTGAGGAAGCCTTTTTAAAACTTCATTAGCATGCATGCTATTGCACTAGCTCTCTAGGTTTGATCGTCTCCAGGTTCTCCCAGCGTTACAACTGATCTCCAGACCATAGAGACCAGTTCCCCCAGAGGAAATAACAGCTTCAGAGGACAAATCCTACGGTATAAAGATGAAACCTAGGTGAAATCTCTTGCCAAAATCTCCCCTCCTAGGACTGCCAATGTGGGGTTGGGAAATCGTTGGAAATTTGGGGAGGGTAGGATTTGGGGAGGGGAGGGATCTCAGCAGAGTATATCATCATAGGCTCCACCAGAGGTCATTTCGGGGGGGATCGCGAGGGATCGCAGTTCCCCCGGGTGAGCTACAGGGGCGGGGCACATGACAAAGCCCCGCCCTCTGCTTCCGGCCGCCCCACTTCCGGCCCTCATTCAGCCAGGAGGAGGCAGGAGAAGAGGGAGGGTAAGTTGCTTCCTCCCTGCCTCTCCCCACCCCTGCCTGCCTGGGGCCAGGGAGGGCCTTCGCGGGGCTTCCTTGCACTCCCACCGGCCTTGCAGGTCCACCGTCGGGCCCCTCATGGGGCTCGGCAGTGGAGCTGCAAGGCCGGTGGCGGCGGCCGGGACCGTTGGGGGCGGGGTGTGTGGCCTTATGACACACTTCCAGGAGTTCTCTCAGCCCCACCTACCTCACAGGGTGTCTGTTGTGGGGAGGGGAAGGGAAAGGAGTTTGTAAGCCGCTCTGAGGCTCCTTTGGGTAGTGAAGGGCAGGGTATAAATCCAATCTCTTCTCTTCTTCTTCTTCTAAAAATAACTACTTGCAAGCAGGTTTCACAGTGATCCGTGGGCCATCTCCCCATAAACACCTATAGGACTGTGGTATTAACTATGCTATGTACAAGTGCATTTTAACAAATGCTTCACATGAACCAGACAATGCCTCTATCTTTTTTTTATATAATACTTCCCAAAATCATAATATCCAAGTGACTTGACATCTTGATTAAATCTTTATATGGAAAAAAGACTTTTATATATGGCAGACATTTCAAGGAAAATATGGACAAACACGACCTAATCAGAGAACAAGTATAAAGAAAACAGTCGTGAGAGTCTGACCCACAAATCAAGCCGTCAACAAGACTTGCAAAAAATGCTTCCTGTGTATTACAGTCTAAATTCCTACAAATCACAAGAAAATCCAAGAACAAACATACATAATCAAAGATACATCATCTCCGGATTATATAACAACGTTTCAAAATTGGATCTTCCTCAGGAATATTAAGAGTGGTACAAAAGCTCTCTTGCTCTTAAAGTGCTTTACAAAAAGTCACGAAAGATAATACAATTCACTCAAATAGGATGCTGATCTCAATATGTTCGGGCTCAGATATGCTGCTAAGATTCTAATGGATCTCAGGCATCTGGGATTGGATCTCAGGCATCTGGGATCCATTAGAAGCTTAGCAGCATATCTGAGCCTGAACATTTTTTGCAAGTCTTGTTGACTGCTTGATTTGTGTGTCAGACTCTCATGACAGTTTTCTTTATACTTGTTCTCAGACATTTCAAGGAGACATCCAAGGGGACATTAGTGAAGCGATCTTCCTAATCTTCACTAAACTAGGCACTGCCTAAATTGTTCCTCAATGATTGCAATGCATTACATACTGGAGGGCTTTTAAGATTAACGTTTTATTTAGGAGAGGAGAGCTTGGATTTATACCCTGTTAACTTCACTACCTGTGGGCACTCAATGAAATTGCTGAGCAGTCGGGTTAGAACAGATAATCACCCAAAGAGTGATTAACACATGGAATTCACTGCTACAGGAAGTGGTAGTGGTGACTACAAGCATGGACGGCTTCAATTAGATAAGCATATGGAGCAGAAGTCCATCAGTGGCTATTAGCCACGAGGTACAAATAGGAACTCTCGGTCTGGGCCCTGAGCAAGTGATGCTCTGTATTCTTGGTGCTTGGGGGGCGGCAACAGTGGGAGGGCTTCTAGTGTCCTGGCCCCACTGCTGGACTGTCTGATGGCACCTGGTATTTTTGGCCACTGTGTGACACTGGCTTCTCTTATGTTCTTACCCAAAGGAGTCTCAGAGTGGCTTACAATCCCTTTACCTTCCCCTCCCCACAACAGACACCCTGTAGGTGGGGTCTGAGAGAGCTCTCTCGAGAACTGCCCTTGAGAGAACAGCTCTGAAAGAACACATGACTGACCCAAGGTCCCACCAGCAGCTCCATGTGGAGGAGCAGGGAATCAAACCCACCTCTTCCAGATTAGAGCCCACGCTCTTAACCACTGCACCAAACTGGCTCCAAACTGATATTCCACCTTTCCTCCAAGAAGCTCAGGGTGGCATATCTAAGATTATCTCTTTATATCCTCATAGTTCTGTGAAGGCTGGGCTCAGAAAGTGCGGCTGGACACAGGTTAAGTAGCCGGTTTAATTAGGCTCTCCAATATGAAACTGCCTTATATTGAGCAAGATCAGTTGGTTCATCAAGATCATAGTCTCTCTATTCCATTCAGCAGCTGCTGTCCAGGATCTAAGGCAGAGAAAGGTCTTTGGCCCTTTAACCTACTAGGGAAGTTCCCTGTGGAATGCTGACCTGGAGGGCCCTGAAGACCTGGCTGCGGCAACACAAGTGTAAGGAATGAGCAAGCCTATTCTAATTCCCTGGCTTCTGCGCTGTTTTAATACCCAAGATCATTTCCCCAATACCCAAGATCATTGTAACTGGAGAGCGAAGCTCGGGGGGCAT